TTGTTGGGTTTATATATAATATATTATCAGCTGTAACCAATGCAAGTATTCTGTTAGAAATTCTCGTGCATTTTTAATAGTTACTTTTCTTTCTTTTTTTTTTTCTCATTCAGAATCTTTGTGTGGTCGCCGCTTGTGAGGTGTGAACGCCTAGTGTGAACGTCTATTGCATGTATAGTTATTTTTGTAGGTATAAAGCGACATGACGCCTCGTGTTCTTCCTTTCAAAATTGCAGCTATAGGAGAGTGCACTCAGTTTATCAGTGAAAAMATTTGTAAACTAAATTATGCAAATTGTGTAATTCGTGTAATTTTGTGCAATTATACACAAAACAAATGTTTCATACTCTCAACATACTTCCTAAAAAATTACTCTTCTAATGTCTCGTTGCAAACTTCAAACATTTTAAAAAGTTCTCTTTATTGAAAAGTAACTTAAGAATAAGATAAAAGAATAAGATAATGAGTTATCAAAAACTTAACATTATGCATATTCTTCAAAGACCGACGGATTCAGGACACGTAAGTTCAAGGAAAAAAATCCTGATGACGCTGTTTTACTTCTTTTCAGAATGATTCCCAATCGTAATCAGATGCATATTGTTTTCTTTATTYACTGTATATAACTTATTATTTATTATAACTTCTTTTTGTATCCTASAGAGAAGGGGTGCTAGGCACCTTTTGAACTGGCTTCAGTTACTGAAATTTCACTCGTTGGATTGGTGTGCAATTGGACCAGCAATAGTCAATAATAATAGTCAATAATAGTTCTTAGTGGCGGGCTCCCTGTCCCCCGCCCCAAGCTAAGAAGAACGGCTGCGTGGAGACTACCAACATAAATGTTAAGAGCTTTCATTGAATTACTGCCGCAGCTAAAGCGTGTATAGCATTGTTATCCCTATATTCTTCAATTAAAAACAAGACATTCAGCCAATCATAACAGAATAAGGAAGAGTGTTAGACAGGGCTTATGCAAATGTAAATTAAAAGAATAAACAACTATTAATGATTATATTCAGTGCTTTATTAGAGAAAGTATAYATGGATAATTATTAATTAAGTAAACAAAAATATAACTTGCGCTCTCTTCTCAGGATTTATCTTTAATATTTCATCTACAGTGTACGTCCTCGCTAGTTGCACTGCTAGTTGTGCTATTGTAGAAATGATATAAATGCTATGTTTACTTATCAAAGAACTCCATTTTTTTAATCTAAAAAGCTAAGAGCACAACGAAAGTCGTAAAAAAGGTGTTTACAAAACAAGTTGTCGCAGAAAATGGCGAACGAAAAATGGTGAAGATTGCATTGCTGAATAAAATATGGATATATATACTGTCCTTGATTTTTTTTTAGTATAATTAAGAGCTTAATCCTTGAATTTTGTAGGATAATTAAGAACTTAGTGTTGACCAATAATATTTTCTACGGATGATTCGAAATARCTACTTGATTACATGACGATTACTCATTTGACCTTTTAAAAGTCCTCGCAGTACTGCAAGCGCCATACACRCAGCAATCGTTATTTGCCATTCTCTTCGACAACTGTTTATTGATATATTGATGTCCCTTTACATTAGCTATAAAACGTTTCTTAATTGCCTTTACCCTTTCCCTTTCTCTTGTTCTTCTTTCTACGCTTTCTTCTAGATCTTTTTTCTTTTCTTCTCAATTTCTTTGCTCTGGAGCGTGCTCTTTCTTTCTTTTTYGCTTCTCGTCCTCGTCGTTTTCTGTTTTTCTCTTTCTTTGGTTTGAGGGAYGGYGGCTTTCKTGGGGGTTCGCGAGACGGTAGGGAGAGCAAATATCGCTTACAGTCCTGAAGAGCATGTTTGATACCAATCCAATGGCAGATTTGCTTGAATTTCAATGGATTGAAACGAATTGCTGCATTAAAGTTTCCTCGCCACCTCGGTGGGCATCCAACATACGGCCACCATGGGTTGTAGGGTACAGAACGAAACCCTGAAAATACACCAATTACTAGGCGGTCTTGTTCTCCTGTTTTTCTGTTATTGTAGTAGACATAGACRCCTGCACCTGACGAGCCTGGCTGGGCATCACAACAATGGTACATCATGTCATTGGTCGCAGCCAAGATGAAACACGACCTGTGTACAGAAATGACATTCATTCGTAAATGGCGGGAAGATTACAACAGGGACAATTTAGAATCACAGAAGACTATAGCAAATGAAGGCTAGTGATGGTGAATTATGGAATATGATGTATGATGGGATGGTTGATGACGACAAATGGTTAAAAATAGTGAATCACAGGAGACTATAGCAAATGAAGGSTAGTGATGGTATATGATCGAAGATTACAGCAAACGAAATTTAATGATTMTACAGAGAGTTCCAGCCACGTACTAGTCACGTATAGTTCGTGGAAAGTATGAATACATTAACGGATTGCTGCCGAACAAAGCAAAATGAAATTAAACGTGTATGGAGGGAGGGTGGTATAGGCAATTGAAACCGCACGTGCGGCGAGGTGTAAAATGCACAGAAAATGACGTTATTATATTGAGCCCAACATGACTAAAAGTTTCGAAGGTATTCAGAGAATATCGAAAACGAATTGGCGAAAAGCGATCAAGTAATGACGAAGTTATTCCAAATTCAAGCCACACACACTTAAAAAGGCGATAGTATAGTGGCTTGAGCCTCGTTCTGAGACACTAGCCATAAAAAGGAAAGTCCGAGAATAACATTCGTATTTACCTGTACCAAATWGTATTAGCAGGTTTGTCGTCTTCGAATGCAGTAAAATGTATTTTAGTTGTCCTACCAAACCTGTTACCCTGACTGTATGACAGTGGCATTGGTCGTCGTTTATGGCGCTTGGCGAGCTTGATGATTGCATAATCATACCTGGGTAATTAGAGATGTCATTAACGTCATAATMATATACTAATACATAGCCATTTAGCGAAGAACATTCAAAATAATATGTGGAATTTATAGTGTATTCATGCTATTTTATAATAGAATAACTTTATTTTTTCTTTTTGCCGCGCGCGCTCAAGGTCAACATGCGCACGCGTAATCACATAGACTTTACCTTCAAGTATTGGAAAGATTTCTCTTGAATAAGATCAATAAAAGAGAACAGTTTTCAGCAAGAGAAAATGAAAACCGTATTTCCAAGCCACGTTGCAATATTCTTGTTTATCATTATACTTTAAAGAATGTTTTTGTGTTTACCTGGAAGCATCTGTATCGTTTCCTTGAACCCACGCGAGTGGCAGCTTCACCTGAAACGCGTTAATCCATTCGATCGTTTTGTTCGCTAACAAGAAGCCCACTCGAAGAGACCGAAAACCTTTGGCATAGTCTTTACCGGTATGAAGACAATGTGCAGATGTAAGGACATGACGAGTCGAGACTGCTGTCCCAGTACAACCTGTCGATATCTTAACAACCACTTCAAATGGAAACCTCTGRGCAAAACTTCGAGTTGGAATATAGAATCTCCGATGTTTRCCGAATAACTCCCGACGATGACGATGAGTTTTAAGCACACTCGGGATATCATCGTCCTCTTGGACTTCATTGAAGTCAAAGTCTGATTCTAATGTTGTATTTGTTGGGATTATTTTAACTTTTGTTACTTTACGTCTCCCAGATGTAGTCCATGCTGTTTCAAATGAAAGCTCTTCCGAAAGCTTCTCGTTTGATTCCAAAATATCGTCATGGCTTCCTCGGACGCTATAGTTCTCATTAACCTTACCAGTGAAATTAGTATTGGTCTCTCGRGCTGTGTGAACAATTTTCAGTTCTTGTCTATTAGCTGCTAGTATCTGYTCTTCAATGTCGAGACTGCTTGAYARTGAGAACAGTATTAAGCATAATACACACGGTCGAAGCATATTACTCCAAGATGTAGAACGCATCRTGTACACAATGATTAGTTCTTCTCAGCATTGGCTACCATCAAAGCAACGTTCCCTGGAAATGGGAAAGATATAACGTGTTCACAGTAAATATTTGCTATCACTAACGACCCAATAAACCAACTCACGCTCTATTGTTGATTTAAAGATTATGATAAATCTCTCAGTCAGGGTACTTAATGCATGAACCGAGCAATTTYCTTTTGTTGTGTAGCGCACACAAGTCAGCACCAGTCATGCGTTGATAACTATCTTTGTTTTGATCTCTCTTGAGTGAATTGATTAAAATCAAAAGAGATATTAACTAAGTATTGATACAACAGCAATTTATAAACACACTTTTGCTGTGAAAACCTAAATGTTGTTAACTTTAATGTTAGTTTGATTATTGATGTTAAGGAAATGAAGAGCAGTTTGTTCATATCCTGGGTGTGATGTGTTGTGAGTGGGTTGTATGTTATAGCGGTTTATTGGGTGGGAAAACGTTTTTTGTCTAACCACAGGATAATAGAGTTTAATATTTGAGGTGTTCGGTTCGTTTTATGATTTGATCCATTAAATGTGCTAAATGATGCCGGAAAACATGCCATTATGGTGGCTMGAGTTGGTAAAAATGGTTTCACATAAAAACAACTCTTARCTTCAAAATACAAAAAAKAAMAAATAACAAATACAACTGAATCCATAACAGAATAAAAACAGCAAAAACAAAGTAGTGACAAATACATAAACAMGAGACAACTTGAAGAAACAAAAACCTCATATTCGATCAGCTACTCCAATGACGCAATACAAATATCAATTTCGTCTATTTGACATAAATACTAATTGATCTTTCAATACTGAAAAACAGGAAGACGGCATGAGGAGCAGCTAGGCTTGATTTAACCCCTTTTGTGTTTAAAACAAATAACTATTTTATTGAATACCTAGTAAGTGGCTAATCAGGAAATACSATATATTTATCCAGTATTAAGTTAGAAACTGCAAATAAAAGAATTGACTCCTGTAAACAGCTTTAATGGCTTACAGTTCTATACATTTTCGTTATCTGGTCTAATAAGATTAACGTTTTAACACAGTTAAAAAAACTAAACCTTTTACCTTTGGAACATTACAAGATCAGATCGAGAACATGTAATTTTTTGTGTAAATTGTTAAATAGAGCTTTCGCAAATAATAAAAATAGTACAATATGACGAATTATCGAATCAAGTATAATTATAATGCTATGAATTTTTTTCGTTTCGCAAGTTGAATGACTTTGACTTTTGCTCTATAAAAATTATGTAAAACAGTTCATTAAATGTGCATTGCGCAAGCTAGGATGCCATTTTCTAGGACAGAAACTGATGTGAAATTGATTCCTCGAATKTTTTTGTGTTTTTCAAAATTAACTCGCTTAATAACYCGCTGTGTTGTCTTCTAAAGAAACTGCAAAAGAGGCTGCGTAGAGGCGCTAAAGGGACTGGGGAGGGCCCGGCTCTCCGCTAGGCCCTCGCCAGTCCMCTTGTGACCGCTACMCAASCAGAAACGCAACGGATAAGCACGTTCTACAGACTGCATATGATCGTCAAGACAGTCATTTGTTATATTGAGTTGAAAATATTTATGGAGCAAAGATTGAAAATTTGACTCAGTTAATATGCCAAATAAAAATTCTTCTTTCCAAATTTATAAACCAATTGAAAGCTAGGAAAAGCGACTGAAGATGAAAAATCTAAAGCGTAGATCGATTTGATTTCWTTAATTTCTTGAATGTCTTTTCTCGACTATGACCCCATTGACTGGAGCAACTCATGGAGATGTATGTTGACGTGTGAATCCTCGTCATGATCGATTTACAAGTCGCCACATTTTCAACCACGATTTTGCGTTAATACTAATCGTTTAATGCAGCAATTATGTATGAATTCCATATCTAAGACTATGTACAGACCTAATCCGTTCTTAATTATTTGTTTTCTATTGTTTAATCACCCTTTTTACATACGTTTTTCGTAAATTTATCAACACACTGTATATGAAAACATTAAACAGCTTTATGTCTCACCTCTAAAACTAATAGTCAAAGTAAAACACTCAATTAAACACAAAAGAAAGGAATGTAATCGAGAGTATAATAGTACAACATCTTTGTTACCAATATTTCACGGGTTCCAGCGCCGTAATTCCCTATCCCATGACGTATCAGACTCTCTACATGCAAGGACAGAGCCACATATGTGCGTACACAAATTGAAATTACTTACATTGCTGTAATATCCACTATTGTCTGGCATTCCCCGGAGAATATGTTCAATCAATCTTGTAACTAAATGCAGGGGTATGCAGTCTTTTCGACTGATATGCCCCAACCTTGGTTCTACTCCGGAAACAAACAAAGATTGGCGCGAATTTGAAACTGATATATAGCTTTATAAGAGGCGTAAAGTCTAATGTTGCATTCCATTGGATCTGTGACAGAAGTCACGCAAACCACTGAGTGCTCGCCCATTTCAAAACACGATGACCCCATGAGACAAATTGTTTTCAATATCCGCCTTATCGGCACCTGTCCATCGATAACCGAATGACTTTTTCTATTGCCATTTCTTTTCCGGCGGATACACAAACTGTTTTTGCGGATAGAAAACTTTCACATCCACACGTATTCGTCGCGAAGCKTTTCCAAGTATTTCAAGTCTCACTCACTGACTTGCGGACGAAACCGCGTATGCTAATCAATGTGTGTCTGATTCAGAGTATCAGTGTAGGGAGTGTGTCCCCCCTCCCCCGGCATACGTTTTCCTAAGTTGTATTCTCTTTGACTATAATTGTGGTATACAAGCCCTGTATGACGTACAACCCTATCAGAAGWAAAGCCCGGATTCGCCCCATAAAGCCTTTCATTTGAAATAGGGTCTAAAAATGCTTCCATATCAATAACTGTTCACAAATATATAGGTTTTTCGTTTCATTGCTTTAATATCTCTATCGTTATTATCTAATAAAAAGAAAGATAAGCAAATTTAAATGACAAATAGAACAAAACGTAGAAAGATAAGATAAAAAAATATGCAAAAGAAAACGGAAGAAAAGTAAATTATTATTGTGGAAGAATTATCTTCTTTGGTTCCTAAGAGGATGTTTTAGCTTGTGTTTACGTACGGCAAGAAAAACAAAAACGCGAGACGTTTGTATTATAAAGACAAACACAGTCTTAAGTGGTACTTCTAGAGGTCTTTGTAGTGCCGTAATTTATGCTTTTCTAGCTTATTGTCATTCCCAAAGCTGGCACGGCGATGCCGAGATAAAACATCATAGATAGCAGTGCGCGTCTAATCCGATCAAAGATCCCAAACAGATATTCCACGAAAAACAACAATATCAAATATGATACGATACTTGCGATTGGCGATARGTATGTACTCTTCAGAGTAAATGTACGGGTTTGATAGTAAAAGGTTATGGTTTAGGATTCGCACACAAAGAAAACATATGTTTTAATAGCTGAACTAGCTGTAGTTTCTTTCATCAGTTTATAGATTGGATATAGAGAATGCTTACACATGCACCAAAAACAAGTTGTGCAGAACCGCACGGACGATGGCTAAAAACAAAATAGAGAGGGATTTAGATTAAATGCCGATTAAACGCCAAATTTTCTTTAATAAAAAGCTAAAATGATTCGAAAGGAAAAGTGAAGCGCCCACGAACGAGAAAAACGATCGAATTTATAAGTGAAAACACACTAAAAAAAA